TCTTCCGTCTCTATTACCAATAATTGACTCACCACCACCACCACCACTCATTCACTGTTGCGTCTTAATGAGGTATATTTTTGGTATCATCCACGTGGACCAGGCAAACCGACACGATGATGCAGACGTGGAACTTCAAGTACGATGTGGCGTGTAACACACACGTGACGAGCAGTCGCTTGTTGCCCCCTCCGGACGAACGACATCATCATGGTACAGTCGTCCCGTAAAGCTCGGAGTGACGCCGTGTAGCATCGATCTATGTAGGTCGATCGATGCTCGCACAGAAGCTTAAGCCGATCGCCCGAGGAGTCGACCGCAATTAATTGACTCGTACGACTAACTCATCCTCGCAGGTATAAAAACTAACCCTCCTTAATCAAGAGAAAAAGGACTTTTCATACATTCAACTCACTCTTATTCTACTTAACACTAACTTAAGCTTTGGAGGAATCAAGTCGGAAAATCTTCCTCCCGACCTTGACTTATGTTTAGGGGTAAACGATGAAGAAGCAAACAACAAGACTTGTAGCTCAATCTAACCCGACACGCACTTTCGTTTTTCGAATCTCCGTGTGGGCGACCTTGTACATCCAGGATCGAACCGAACCGTGTTGTCTCCTCGACCATAGCATTAAGGTTTACCAATACGTCTCTCATTCAAATCATACGTAATCTTACGGTATCATATTATCACGTAATATATCAGAAGCCACTCGTTTTACTTCCTTGAAGTCTGTTTTACTAATTTGTTTACATGTAATTAAATAACTTAAGTACATTTAATTATATTTTTGTACAATAATGATGACCAATATTTGAGTCAGATTCAAAATAAGATATATAAAAATAGTTTTTTATTATTCAAGATTCCTTAGTAAAAGAATCTTGGCAGCATAACTTAACTCCACGAGTTAGTTTACGGAGAGCGGGGAGGAGAGTTCGGATGTCAGACGGGATAAAAATCGTGACATAAGTCTACGGACGAGCGCTACACTGTGGCCCGAGTGACGTCGAAGCGGTGAGAAAGCTAGCAACCAATGGTAATATCACACGTGCCGGTCAACTAACACAAGGGGCGACCGCTCCCACGGTAACGTAGCAATTTATCATTGGCTGTTTCTCGGCGAATTAGGGGTTAAAAAGGCTACTAATCACGGGATTAACAAAGCCAAAGTCCCTTGAGAGGCTTATATAAACCAGCCATCGGCCTCTCTTCTCTTCCCCAAGAGAGCGGCCTTCACCGGAAGCCAAACCCAGTCTCCCCCTCCCCCTCCTCCACCCCCTCTCCGCCACCTTCGGTGAGGCTGAGCGAGCCCCCTTCGAAGAGCAAAAGGTTTGCATTTCTAATCTCTTCTTCCTCCTCTTCTGGATCCTTCTCTGTTATCCTCTGTCATCTCAAAGACCGCAAACCAGAGGTTTCAGAGCAGAGATCCAGAGCCCTTTTCTTCTTTCTTTTCATCTCTTCTTTTCTTTTAATCTTGATCGACCAAAAGGGTTCTTTTTTCATACCCTTCAGGTTCTTCTACTCTTCTCTGAAAGATAGTATATCGCTGTATCTCTTTGCTTCTTCGAGTGACCCTCTAGAACCAGGTCGGGTTTTAGCATCCTCTCGTTCTTGCTTCTTGTCTTCTGTCCATTTCTGCTTTTCCTTACTTGCTTTGCTTAGATTCATGGCTGCAGCCATAGATTTGTACAGTAGCAGGTCAGTCCTTCCTGCAGACCCCTTCAATGAGGAGCTCATGAAAGCACTCGAACCTTTTATAACAAGTGTTTCCACCTCCTCTTCTCCACCCCCACCCTCCTCTAACTCCATCATCACCCACTACCACTCTTCCTTCGCCCCATCCTACGCTTATCAAAATCCCTCCTTTGATCATTACTCTCATCAAAATCACACCTTTGCTTCCCACCTTCATCAAGACCCCATTGTGGATGGGTGCTCCCTGTCGCCGTCGAGCGCCAGGATCCCTCGAAGCTTCCATAACTTAGAGGATCAGGGGCTCATCGGCTCGGCCGGGCTTACCCACCTCAACCCCGCCCAAATCCAGCAGATCCAAGCTCAGACCCAACTCCAGCAGCAGCACCAGAGACTCCTTGCGGCAAGGCAATCGCCGCCGAATCGCCACCACCGTCAAGCTGCTGGCTTTTTCGCGCCGAGGCCCCATCCCATGAAGCACGCCGGCTCACCACCTCTGCCGAAGCCCACGAAGCTCTACCGCGGAGTGAGGCAGCGCCACTGGGGGAAGTGGGTGGCCGAGATCAGGCTACCCAAGAACCGGACTCGCCTTTGGCTTGGGACCTTCGACACCGCCAAGGAGGCGGCCCTGGCATACGACCAGGCGGCCTACAGGCTCCGCGGGGGCCTTGCGAGGCTCAACTTTCCCGACCTTCGGGCCGCCGGTGGCTCCCTCCACTCTTCTGTTGATGCCAAGCTCCAAGCTATTTGCCACAGCTTGGCCGATTCGTCGAAACAGAGCGCAGCGCTCCTACCCACCGACGCCCCTAATCCAGAGTTCAATGCGGCAATTGCCGGCGGCGATTCGTCTCCTACGATGGCCGAAGAGGATGCCATGTCGAAGGATGAACTGTGTTGCATGGGCTTAGAAGACCACAAGACAGAGATCTCATCGGAGGGTGAAGACTCCTTGGGGTCGCCGCCGGTGTCCGAGATGCAGCGTTTGGACTTCACGGAGGTGCCTTGGGATGAAACAGAGAGCTTTGTGTTGCGGAAGTATCCTTCATGGGAGATCGACTGGGACTCCATCCTCTCATCCAGCAATTAGCATCCTTGTGGTGGTTAGCTTTAGTTTAATTACTGGTGTTCGTCTCGAGTGGCTGTTGCAAATGGGGTTTTAGACATTTGCTTAGCAGCTGTAGCCAGTCTCTGGCAGTCCCAAGTGTCATTCGTGTATCTGATAGCTCCCCCCTGTATGACCCTCACTGGTTTGCTGGTTGTGTGTTTTTTTGGCATGACCATGGAGTATGAATGTTGTCTTGTTGTCAGTGACTGAAACAGTTCTTGAAGGTGTGATATAATGTGAGGTAAAATAGTGTTCGTAGATGTATTGTAAGGGCAGAATTAAAAGCCCTGCCTGCTGGTAATGTGGCAGATAGGGACAGAGAGAGGAAGAAAGGTGGGGAAGGGGAAGCACTTGAGTGCAAACATAGTAAGTACTATGATGATTGATGATCCTGTAGTGCAATCAATCTCATTCAAGCCATAATTTTCTCGGTAGCACAAGTCACTGCTGATTTAGTTTTTATTTTCAGACATCTGTGCAAGTATTGTATAGATGTTCTACTAGATGACACCAGTAATAAACCTAGTAGTTTTGTCAGACTTGATAATTTTGGTCACTGGTGTTCAAGATCAACTTGGGCTGATGGCTAACCTTGGTGTTCTAAAGATAAGTTTGCTTAATCAGGATACCCTAACATGTGGGAAACAGAGCAAGTCCTGACTTGGATCAACCTAACAATGCTTTTTTTACACAGCTTTGTCACAATACTTGTGGAAAAGTGTGTATCTCCTCCATGTCCCAAGATGAGGTATAATTGTGTCAAGAATGATCTGTCAGAAAAATTGGATCAAATACTGATATCATCTGAATTAAGACATGCATCACTATTCTAAGGAAAGCTGCTTATATAGCCAGATCAATGCAACATATCACAAGTTCATCAAGCTAAGACAAGTACCCAAACAGTAAGGATCCTGTAATCTGCATCCTTATGTGCTGAGTTAGGTTTTAGGACTGAGCTTTCCATGCCAATGTACAATTATACATGAGTTCACTGAGGCTGTAGCCTAATTACTGAACTGCATTGCTGTGACTATAGCTACTTCACACACAATATCCAACGCAAGATGTGCAAAAGGCATCTAGAATCCTTTTGCCTTTGTCCAGATGAAAAGGACCACAAGCTCATCTTGAGCCAACCAGGCCCCCTTGTCTTCCCCACTCACCACATTCTTTACTGGGAAGGTGTTCCCACCAAAACCACCCACCCAATCCCAGCCTATATCTCTGTGGTCTTTCTTCCCTCCTTGCACATCCAAAGAATCCTCCTTGCTTTTCAAAGAATTGTTTGGACCTGCAGGAATCCACGAAAAAAAGAAAAGGAGCCATCTTGCTAAACAAGCAGCAAAAGTCTATTAATTTCCTATCATTTTCTTCTATATGCCTCATTGATGATGTCTACTCACAGATGTGAATACTTCAAAACAGGGGAACAGACTTAAACAGTGGAACAGATAAGGTGGAGAAGTAAAGCAATGGATTTGGTATATGGTGCTTTTCATATTGATAGAATATATTCATTTCAAAAAATAACAATGACAATTATCACTCAGGATGAGATTGTGGATTCCATGTCTCTCTTTTTACTTTCTTCCTTTCACATCAGAATAAACATCAAGAGCATATGAAGCACATACTCACAAGAAGGAATGTAGGGCTTACCTATATGCAGATGCATTCACTAACCCTTATTATACATGCAGCTAAGGATACTTACTTATGGAGGGCTCAGCTGCATGTAAGACTTCAAACATAATTAAGGGACCATGACCAAGTTCAAGTTTAGTATGGATAAGAATGAGACTGGATTCAAAGACACTCTTAACTCATGGTAGATTCCCTCTCATAAGCCATGTCACAGGAATAAGTTTGCACAAGCTTTTGGGAATTCCATAATAGATTGAATAATGATTTGCCACTAATTTCCACATCCAAGTATCTGCAACAACACAATTTAACCTAGATCAGGTACTCGGTTTTCTTGCCAACCCTCCAACATCCTGCATCCATTTCATTCTTCTATTGAACTTATGAACAACCGCACTAAACTATCAAAACAAATACAAAAGCTAATGGTGTCCCACTAGAATCAAGGGTCTTCAGCTTAAGTGACTCGTTCAGACAAGCGTCACAACAAGTAGAGTCATGGACCACACTCGTAAACAATCTGTTGATACTATCTGCTGCTAAATAAAATTCCAGGAAAAAGATTTAGCAATTATAGTCAAATTAATCAGTTGTGATTCCTATGAACTCCACATCATCTGTAGTTCTCCATCACAATTATCAGGAAAGCTGTTTTCAACTGCCCACAGATGGTCTTTCATCAGCACAGACTTGTGTTCACGCACAAAGTTGAGAATCTTTAAGCACAGCGTGATATTGTGTGCACCAAAACACTTGGGGTGCAGAGGGATGGTAAAGAAAGAAGTACCTGAACTTAACCCATCAAACAACTCAATTACTTGTAGATGGAACTGTGGGTGTATACAATCTTGGATCTCTGCAACAAATTCCCCTTGTGACTTTTAATCAGCAGAACTGGAGTTTACACCAGAAACATAATCAACTGAATTTGCCAATCTCCATCTTCTTCTTGATTGCTCTTTGACCATGATAGATAAATGAATCTAATATTCCAGAAACAGTAAAAATACCTGAAAACCGAAAAGACATATGTAACTTCAAGTTGTTGAAGATCTCTAGAGAAGGTCTAAGATTCATAATATTCAAAATACAACTTTCTGAGCTTATAAGTAGATCTTATCTTTTTTTTTGGCCCAGCAAGCAGTAAAGAGGGCACTCAACTGTTTATAAAGAATAAAGCGAACACATGGAATTCAATTCATCAATGCAATTGCCTCAAAGAAATAAAATAAATAAAAGCTGAAGGAACAAATATTATATATTACATCTAAAGGCACATACATGAGATAGTCGTATCACATTGGATACATAGGCATCCTAAATGACTCGTGCAAACACATAAGGTGTAAATAGAGTAATAGCAGCTGGAAAGGTGTCGAAAATGACAGTTACATATAGTTATTTAGGAATTGTTTGAAACACTGGTTGGACCAGTATGTACCTACCAACATTTGCTGATCCAATCAAGCACCATAATCAGAATACATAACTTGATACCACTTGTTATTCCATTACTTTCAATTATGTTTTAGTGATACAGAATGGTATAGGTCAAAATTCTACTTGATATCTCAGTAACATGTTGGTCCAATAATTTGTTAAAACTAATAGGACCGGTGTTTATCTCCAAGGAGAAACGCCAATGGCTATTAAACCGCAGTGTGCACAGTTAAGAGGTCAGGAGTTCATGTTTCTTAAGTGTAAAGTACACATTATGTAATGTTTGAATGGAGGGAATAATTTTTTTAAAAAAATGGGCCAGTATGTAAAACCATGGTATTAGGTTTAGTGAAGGTGTAACCTCAATAGAAAGCACCATTAAGCATTAAACAGCTCCACTTCGTACGGTGCATGTTTTCTTGGTTGTGTTTTATAAACACAAAATTAGTAGATAACATACCTAGACTGCCTAATTTCCTTGATCATAATTCATTTTCACTCATAAACAAGCAAAAGGTGAACTTCATTAAACTCAATTGTACATGAAAAACTTATGTAATGCCACATTTAACCAATCAGACTAGACTTAACTGGTTTGCAGAAAAAACTTCACCAAGAAGATAATAATGATAAGAATAATAGGAAGTAATACCTCCAACAATTGCACAAACATTAGTCAAGAAGTGTAAGAAAGATACATGTCCCTCCATGAAGGTAACCTGTAAAGTGCATTCTCGTAAGATCTCACCATGATACATATTCAACATTTGATTTACAAGTTGGGATAAACTCTATAAAAAGTATCATCTGTTGGATAAAAAAAGACTCAGAACAGCTGACAGATATTATGTTATTCTCATAATCTGGATTAAACCAGAATTAAACAGAAAACATTTCTTATAATAATGAACAAAAAGATAAACTAAAAACAAAAAATGGAATGGTTGTCAAATATGACAGTATCAACTGGATAAAAATATGAAAATTGTGAATTGATGACTATGGCTCAGAATAAATCATGCTGTTCGAGAAGCTTACAGGAAAAGAATAAATGCAGTAAAGGTGGTTATGGCTGAGGACAGAGGAATTTACAAATAAAGTAATGTGCATAGAAGTGTCACCTTAATTGGGGAAAGATCATAGAAGAAAAACACTCCGGGGACAGATTGTAGTCGACCAGTGTCATCACTCTTGAAATGCTCTGTCACCGAAAACTGCACAACAATATGCAGAAACATCATAAAATATCATTTGATATAAAAAAACTGCAGATACAATGTTTGCTATAAGCAGTCAAACTTACCTGGTTGGACTGGATAGTACGGCCATTTATGTCAGTGTAAACAGTAGGGACAACCTACAAAAGAAGAAATTAATATCCAGAATTTGTAAAAACTAATATTCATCAGTATTGTAGCATTACAATGAGAAAATACAACACAAGCATTTAGGCATAGTAGTGTGAAACAGCATAATGACAAATAGGATGTAGAATGTGCAGTCTCATGAACTTAAATAGGAAACATTATGATACTACAAACCTTGATGAAGTATTGGTACATTCCATTTGGTGTGTGTTGCACCCACTGAACTCTGATATTTTCAACAAGCACGTAGATGTTATATCACATCTTAAAAAATAAAATAGAGATTGCACAATAGCATGTAAAATTACACGACTGGAAAAATGAAGGAAGTTACCCATCAAGAGGGTTGACAACACCAGGAAAGTATTCTCCAAAAGCTAATTTGTTAATTTTGTGGCTAATCTGGAATTACAAAGATGGAAGCAAAATATGTTAGCATGAAGATATTAGTTCAGAACCAACAGCAAGAAGCTCCTAACAAGCTTAAGAATTAAAATTAGAGTTATACAGAATTTCTTACATTAAAACTTTCTTTTTGGAATGGAAGCAGGTCGTGCACATGCATATTTGACTGCTGGAAGCTTTTACCAGGGGCAAAATGAAAATTTCCACCCACCTTTTTGACTTCCAAGAAACCATAGACATTGCATCCTTCACCCTCTTCATTTTTGATCTTTTCAAGGAACCCTTCTCGTTTGCACTACGAGAATATATGAGTTGTCAGAATTGCAAAATGTTCCTTTTTCTTTACTCAGAATTTTCTTACATTAAGGTTTCAAATAACAGTTACTATGGTGAATACTGCACTGATCAGAGCAAGGACTGTGGTATGGACCATATGGTACATAATTGATCAGTATTATTCTTTTATTTGTATTGAATGAAATCAGGCAGTACAAGTGCTTGCTTCATATAAATTAACTTCGGTACCATATCATACAAGATAAACTTTCAATTCTTGGCAAAATTAAAATGAGCTTAGTTAAGATGCTAAATGCAATTCCAGACCAATCATTTCATGAGATGAACTGGCAATTGCTAATGTTTGGAACAGTACTCCAGGAGAATCTGAACAGCGGAAGAGAAGCATGGTGTAGTCAATCATCTTCTTTGAAGCTTTGCACAATCATCACATTAAGAATTTAGGTGGAGTTGTTGTCAATACTAAGTTTTCAAACGAAAATCTACAGCAGCACATTTTGCCAATCACCTCTGGTAACTGTGGGGAATCTATTGGATTTATGTAGCAGCTAACAGTTCATGGCTGCCAAAAGAAACCTACTGGCATTTGAAAAACAATAACCAGAAAAGCTGACAACAATTGAACAATAATGGTAGATGAACTGGGGCAATTCTTTAAGTCAATTCTTTAAGTCTTAGCATCATCACCTATATGATTTCATCAGCTAAGTGATTTAGCAGAAGAAGAAAAGTAAAAAATAGTAGCAGGACCAATGTGCCATGTTATAATAACCCCATCGGCATTCTTTAAGTCAATTCTTTAAGTCTTAGCATCATCACCTATATGATTTCATCAGCTAAGTGATTTAGCAGAAGAAGAAAAGTAAAAAATAGTAGCAGGACAATGGGACATGTTATAATAACTCCATCAGCAAAGTACAAACATAGTCACTTCTACAAATTTAGTTTTATAAGACTGCATAATTACATAGGCAAACCTGCCAAAGAAGTTCAAGTATGTCTTGTCTTTACCACCCAAAAAAAAGAATACATCTTCATAATAAGATATCTACACTTTAGATTAATATAGTGGCAGAACAGAGAACTAGGTATTCTAAAAACTTAATTATAAAATAACTTAAAATACAAAATTACAGTTACAAGAAAAACTTTTCATTTCCATGTCAACCTGACTGGGAACAGACTGAAAACATTCAGGAAAACATTATTTCAATGGAGAGATTATGTATGAAGGTAGGCTTCAAATACCAGTAGACATATTATTGATGATATACAAGGAATAAGAAATGCCCATCTTTTTAGTCAAAATGTTTCTTCTCCAATCTGATGCTTTATGGATCTGAATCCTGTGAAATTAAGAATGCTAAGATGGGAATATTGAGTTGGATGTACGAAATTACTAGGAAATGTAGGAAAAGAAATATTTTTATCCGTAAATAATTTATATTTTATTGTAGTCTCAACAGAGCATAAGATGAGAGAGACATGTTCAAATGGTATGAACATATGTTAAGGATACCTATATATCCTATATGATGTAGTTAGAAGATGTAGAACTAATATTAGTAGCAAAGTTTGTTGTACCGCCCGAGTTGATATGGTATGGGCAGTACATATAGGTCCAACTCGCCACCGAGACGTGGCTCGCCAGAGTCCCCATCGATATGCTCCAATGTACCATGTGTTGATACACCAGTACATATCGGTATGTACCATACCGACAAATCTCCAAGATAAGTCCAGTATCCGAAATGACGAACCATGATTAGTAGTACAAGGAGAGATAAAGAGAGACCTAAAAAGATTTTATTAAAAACTATAATTAAATATTCAAATACTCTTAATTTATCTAAAGATATAATTTTTTCAAAGCTCAAGAGCTCAATAGCAGAAAAAAAAAATCCTTATAGCCAACCCAAATAGTAGGAACTTTATGACCTTATTGTGTAATTGTTGTTGTTGTGCATCTTCTCCAAACTCTATCTTGATTCTTGCCAAACATTTTCCTCATTTCATTCCATGGTTCATTATCTCTTGCAAACCTACACAGTGAGTCCTAATCCTAATAATATCAATTGGTCGTATCAATCAGTTGGTAATTTAAGCTTCCATAACATGTTGCAAAGACAACTTGAGTAGATATTTATGAATAGAAAGATGAACCAGTTCATGCCTATCAGCAGAAGGGAGCAGTCCTGCTACTACTTGGTCCATAATACTGAGGCAAAGTCATCAAAGAGAACTGCCTTCAAAATTTTTGTTGTTTAGAAGATGGGTTTTGCAACCAAAACCAGTGTTCCTTATCAAATTATTCTTAAGAAGCTTTACACATCATATCGGTCAGTCGTTTAGTTTTCCCAGTGAAAGCTTTGTGTCTTGCTAGCTACATTCAGTTAGTAACATCAGTATTTCTTTACCCTGCAGTAAGATAGGTTTAGGAATGTCTAACTTAAGGAACTCTGTGTGCAACTGGATGTTAAAAACAACTTGCCACCAAAAAAAACAACTCAAGTGAACAGAATTAACAGTTTGAGTACACTGTAGTCAGTAAAAGGTTGAGTGGAACATCATAACAAAGGATTAAAAACTTAAGAGTGGCGAATGCAGTTAACTTAGAAAGAAAACTGAGAATATATTATATCAATTCCCACAGTAAACTCTGCTTGCCATAAACTGAAGAATTCTTATAGCAACTAAGAACTTGAGATATAAAATTTCTCAAAATCAAAGTCAATAAATCAAAATATCCAAGAACACATTCATATGTACCTGGTCAACCAAATCAGGGTTTGACAGCCCCCAACCTTTCTTTCTATAGGCTTCTCGAACTTCTTCACATGAGTTGCAACAATCCTCATCAGACTATGAAACATGAAGATGTAAATTTATCAATCATTTGTGAATGCCTTATACAATTGCATTTCAAAAATACTATGCATAATAAGTTAAAATTGAGGTTGAATTTGTAAAATAAGTAAAATGTAATGAATTTTGTAAAATAAGTTAATGTATAATAAAAAATTGGTTACTTGCTAGATGAAGCATGTAGAGTAATATATTGAAGAGAGATAATCTGATTATAACAGTATCAGTTTTTCTCCATACTAATAAAACAAAATCAACAGAGTTGCTACTAACACTTTCAACCTTTAGTTCAAATTTTTTGGATAGTTATGACTCATATATGTTACTGTATCATGGATGATTACATCTTCAATTAATCTCTTGAAGCAAAACATATAAAAATATAACTATCAATGATGTTAGGCCAGATACAAACTTAATAGAGAAACTCCAACATTTCAAACAAAGGCAAAGGAACAACAACCTGTTCTTAGTTTCTATAAACTAAAAGTAACACATACGACCTAGACAAACTGTCCCAACAGCTAAATAAACTATATATACAGAAAATTTCTTGAAGCAAAAAAGCCTTGTCGTCAAAGCAGAGTAAAACTATTTTAAAAAGGGCGCACATATTGTTATCTTGAACATTAGTTTTCTTGTATTGTCATAGATTTATTCTGCAGGAAGTGCAACAAGAAATCACTGTGAAGTAATCACCACAATTCAGTCACTGAAGCTGTTATATAACTGTCATCTTATTATATAATGGTGACTCATCATTTACTTTTAAGCCTAAAAAAGAACTAATTACAGAGACTCTTGTGCTTGTTTCAACCCTCCCATCTTTTTCACTTTTTTGCAGCAGCATGTAAATATTCTAGATCTACCAGATCTCCTAGCACATTATGCATAATATCCTGGTGTTACAGCTTCTATAAGGCCCTAAGAACATTTTCTGGAAAATGCGAAGGACCATCATTTGCTTGATTTTTAATTATGCCCAGTGACGGGGTACCAAACCATTCATCAATGCTGATTTCTGCAGTGAATGTATGAATTTTGGTCATATACAATCTTTTCTTTCCACATCTTCAAAAGAGACGAACTATGATAAACACCAAAAAAGCAATTGTTGTCTCTTTCAAGGTTATGATAAATATCATTAGGTAGTCCATAAAACAGAATAGGAAATTTGGCCTTCTTCACATGTAACAACTAGAGCTTGCCTCATTGGATGACTAAATCTAGATTAACTAGTTGATTAACGACTACAAAGACATTTACATTGCATCTAAAGCCACTAGCATAATTTTCTTCTACTTAAATTCAAAAGGTACTTGTCTTCTACTTAAGGTTCATTAGATGTTCTATTTTACTGGACCTGTAAGCCCTGCCTTGGGTAGGATCGAGGGTTATGGATGTGCAAAAAATTGTTCATCAAGTATTAAAAACATCTAGTTACTTGTTCTACAACTAAAATAGCTGAATAGCGGCAATTACTTTCTGTGAATCTATCAAAAGAAAAGAAAATTTTGTAGCAGAAAATATAGTTGTGAAACATCAAGGACCAAAGACGTTTCAGTATAGTCACAAAGGCTTAGAAAGAGCAAACATACCGCTTCTGCACCATAGCAAGAACCACAATATGTCTCATTATGTTCAAGTCTCCCACCATGTCTTTGTAAAGGCTTTTCAATCTGTAACAAACGATGGCAATGCATTTCATGCATACCAACTCATATTATACCACCTTATAGCAGGGAAAGTAAATATGTGATGCATCATGGCAACATGCTCAAAAAAATTTTGATTTGCTTTCAATTTACTCTAAATTCTAAAATGAGAAGAAGTCATCCATGGCAACTTATAATAAATACAGGCAATAGAAACCAGTTATCGGTCAAAGACAATTTGACAAATAATCTTTCTCAGGATATTTAGTGCTTAAGCTAACAAAGTAGATTGACTAGCAATCTGCTAGAGGTATATCATCACTATGAAACTACATGAACCCAAACAAAACATTTTATAGGTGCTCATTTTGAATCCTATCAGTTGGTTCAGCAGTCAAATTCAAGATACTGGTTCAATGCAATCAAAATCTTTCTGCATCAACCAATACAATCATTTTATGGACCTAATCCTGGATATCATAGATTAATTCAGCAATCAAATTCAAGTAAATGGTTTCTAGCAGTGTAGATTGATCTACTTCGATATATCAGTATAAAATGTCTGTAGAACTTAGAAGTGTATCATCCTATTGGCATCTTGGTACTAATAAACACCGACTTTGACCATGAACTTGAACTTCAATTTTGTTTCTATAATAGTGGTTCAGTTAGTCAAATTTATGCTCCAGTTTGCACCCTGATATTTGAAAGATTTGCTCCACATTAACACTTGAAAGTTTAAGCATGCTTATCCTCATTCATTAACAGGAAACGACAATCAACATACACAATGACATTTTTTTAAATACAGGACCACGATGATACAACAAAGGATTGAAATTTCGTATCGTACTAGCGTACCAAACTTTGCTCGGTATGGTACGGTACAGTATGGGAGTATCGAGCAATATGCCAGGGCGTACCGAGCGGGTATATATATAAAGGAGGCGTACACTGCCTCGACGACGTCGCCTCCTCCTCTTCTCCTTGTTGCCTCAAACAAGGAGAAGAACATGGTCTCCTTCATCTCCTCATCTGTGAGGTTCGACGAAGAAGGCGGCAAAGATGTCGAAAGCCACAGACGTCTCTGGCCTTCGACGAAGAACGTGGTGAAGAAGAAGCTGCAAAATCACAGACATGGCGATGAAGGAGATCGCCTCTTCCGCTGCTCTAGTCGTCACCTGGCTGTTACCTCCTGGATCGGAATCGTCAATGGAGGGCAGCACCGAATCAGTACGCGTCAAGGTTCTCCCGATTCTACCTCTTCTTTGAACGCTCTCTCTTTCTTCTTCCTTCTCCCTCGATGCTTCTTCTTCCCTCGTCACAACCAGGCTGAAACCACCCGGTAGCGGGCGGTCATGGTCGAAATCGACCGTTATTGACCTGTTTCAGATAGTAACAATCAAAATTTTGACAGTTATCATCCAATACAGCCCTGCATCATCCTATACGGGATTATATCAAGCGTTCCGCCCAGTAGCAAACGGTCCACGACCGGTACGTACCGCCCAGTACAGGCGGTACCATTCGAAATTTAAAACCTTGGATAAAACTAGATATGAAGTAGGTGATAAAACTAAGCTCTAAACACATGGTGGCTAAACATTGAGTCAACATTTACCCTCTATATTCATTACAAGTCATCAAACAATTTAAAAATGTTTTTCATAATGACCTTTCTTCATCAAGGTATTAAAAACCAGACATGTTAGTTGGCATTTTAGGATAGTATTTATTGGTCCGACCATGAACCAATAAGCACATCGATACATCTCTTACGCCTTCTCTTCCTCCTCCTATTCTACATCTCCTACTAAATTTCTCCCTCTAAATCTCTGGTCAGGATAGTCCAACTCATACTAAGCGTCAATACATTGATTTGCAATAGAACCATACCAATCTAGCTGCCATCCTGTATCCACGTGGGGTCAAGATTTTAAACTTTGTTCTACAATAGTGACCACCACCTTACTTTTGTGATTAGACAATCTTAAAATGCTCGACTATGTACCAATTGCAGAATCCTTCATTTCACTAATCCTTCTCAATCTACAATCTGAATCTTCTGATATCATTTTCCATCTGTTCTTCATGCTACAGCTTTAAATTTGATTAAGTTTGCGCAATGGCACATGGATACTATATGAGAAAATAGAGAGAAATGAGCAAGTGCCCTACTGGAAGGACTGAATTCTCAATCCCACTAACTCAAGATTAGTAATAGGGGCTTGAAGACGACTTGTACTTGGATAATCCAGTAAAATTACAAGATTAACAAGGTTCCTAATTTCTTTATGGCATCAAGGCATAGAAGTTCCCCAAAAAAAAGGGTAATCTATCATGAACAGGCAAACAGAACAAAAGTATTACCTATAGAATCCGGAAACCATAATGAAGAATTTGCATAGGCCAGACTATTTTACGAATTGATATCACCGAAAATGTAAACTATTATGGCCTTAAACACAACACAGATCTTGTTTATCATATTGTCTAAAACAATTGTTTATGCTCACTGTGAAATAGCTTTTGCTAGAAACTAAATAACAAAGAAACATTTAACAACTTAAGAAAAGAATACTGACCTTAGGTGAACCAATTCCATCTTGTCTAGTTTCAATAACGTTTCCATGGGAATCCAGCCTCTTCTTAATTATGTCGTGTCTCTGTTTAAAAGGACATCCAAAAAATATCTTGTTACCAAAAAATCAGCAATGAGAAGCCCAATAGCAATTATAATTTTGAAACCAATATAGATAGGTATAAATATAATAAAAGCAAGTCTAGTGGTAATACATACTACATCAAGGTGCTCTTCTCCACTTATATCCATGGCATCAAGACTGAGCATAGAACATGAAAGGGCAGGAAAAGTAACATCAAACTGCACTTATCATAAACAAAAAATTTGTGACAATAAGTCGAAAAACTGATAAAATTCATATATAATTAGATACACAAGAAGCCTTCATAATTTTAAAGGGCATACATGATGTAATGGCAAATGCAGACCAAAAAAAGGACAATGTTTAACAATAAATGATGTCGTTCATGTATTGCTAAGAGTTGAAGCAATATATATATTACATTGATCCGAAGTGATTCCCCTCTAGACGTATCAACTACAAGCTTTGTTTCTGTAACAGCATGAAGGTACAATCCTGCAATTATAAAAGAAAAGAGAAAACAAGCTATAATTAGTGCATTTTGAAAGTAAGAAGTGCAAAGTTCCAACGTATAAAGTATAAGAAACGATTCTTCATTTGCAATACACAACAAATGCAATCTTACAAGTTGATGAGAAAAGAGAAAAAGAAAAAAAAATCAAAACTGGGGACAACTGGCTATGGACCTATAAAAAACTTTATAAATACATATTGAACTAAGGAAGATTTTGCAGTGTACTAAATCTGATTCTTGTTGTCCGCGATTTTGACATTTGTCTTTCTTTTTCTATTTTCCCCAACATATAAGATTGCATTTGTCCAATACGTGGTCAGAGAGACTATTTCTCGTTTAAAAAAAGATGCCCGGCCCAATGCAAGGTACTAAATAAAAAGAATAATTTGCAGCCCCATCGATATATACAATCGTGCATGAGGTTTAAAGCCATCATGTTTATAGAGATGGATATCTCCTACAAGTGAATTTGCAATAAACCACATAGATGATCTAGCCGTACAAATCTTTCTTTCTTTGATAGGAGATTAGATGGATGAAAGACCAAAGATTCTAATGGATAATGTCCCCTCCGGTGGTCGGAAATTTCAAAGTCAAAACGATAGTAAGTCGTAATTCAACCCTAATCGGAAGCGAACACGAACAACTAATGTACAAGGAACCAATTGCCCTACAATTTATCATCTATCAAGCATAACAAGAACCAAATCCGACCTAATTCTTCGGACGCTACCAAGAAACTGAAAACAAAGGATCTGAAGCCAAGAATAGGTGAAACCGTAGCTGGAACCAAGAAAGAATCCAAATCGATCAAATTAAGAAATCCATTCAGAATTCACCGAGCACACACGGAACCTAACAAAGGAACGAACGGAAGGGCAAAGGGAATCCAACATACGGAGTTCGGAGATGAAGAGAAGGAACATGACGATGGAGGAGACGATTGTGATGATGCCGCCGGAGAGGGTCCTGCTGTAGAAATCCTCGTTGATCTTGGGGTAAGCGTCCAGGTTGCGTAGCTTACCGAACACGCCCTCCATTCCGTCGATCCCAGAAGAAGAAGAAGAGATCCGAAGCGGCACAGACCGACGGATCAAAAGAGAATGGGAAGAAGACGGGATAAGATTAAAGCTCTGAGGTATATTTCGTGATCGGATACTGTATCGGAAGGGTTTCCTTCCCCCTTCCGCTTTCCGTTTATTATTATTACGCCTCCCTTCCTCCCCTTCTCTCGATGTTTCTATTACGAGCTGAACCGCCGAAATTGATACTTTTAGCAAATTATAATCAATTTTGTGGTTTGTTAAATCTTAAAACGTGATCATCAAATAATCAGCAAAAGTTTTGTAATCTTGATGCGTTTCGTCTCGCGAGACGAATTGGCAAGCCCAACTTTGTCCGAAAAATTAGGCCGAGAGCCCAATATGTAGCCCACTGTATGTCCGCGCATTAATCGGTGCAACGAGCGACCATCCAAACGGACTCGGTGAGTATGATACTCTAAGCCATGTAAGACTTCGCCTTCTGTTTGTCACGACCATGGGTTAATTGGTCTATCAATTTCATTTGGTCTAAATCACTGACTAAAATATTTAAACTGAAGTTGAGAGTAGTACATTTATCGCGTACTGATTCGGTGCTGCCCTCCATCGATGATTTCGATTGTAGGAGGTAACGATCAGGCGATGATTCCGATCCAGGGTTGGTCCTCTGATACCAAATGTAATGACCCGGGTCTAATGGGCTAATTGGTCTATCAACTTCGTTTGATTTAAACCACTGATCAAAATGCTTAAGCTGAAATTGATAGTAATACATTCATCGAACTATAAGTTAATCTTAATTTTATCAATATGGGACTAATCAGAAGCGTTACGATGTCACTCCTGTAAATATCCATGGCCTCTCGCGACACTTCTCCTCCCACCAGCCCACTACCATCGCTGTTGCCTTATCATCTGTAGCGAAGTGGTCGCGGCGGCGGCGGCTCTGCCATCCAGAAGAAGGACCTTTCTCCGATCGAGCTAAACGGGTGCTGGATCGGCGGGTGGGTGGAGTCGATGAAGGACTTCCTCTCCCATGCACGTGAAGGCCGTCGTTGCTCTGACCACTACGCTTGCCGTAGATTACGAGCAGAAGGAGCACTGTGTATGAGTGACTAATCGAGCACTCAAGGGAGAAAGGTGAGACTTTGGTCTCCGTCAATCCACAATCATTTCCTTGTCGTTGTTGTTTCTTTGCGGTGGTGTGTACGATATAGCACGAACGTCAACCCTTCTCCTTGTTTATGTGAATGATATGCGTTGGAATACATGTTTCGAAGTTTCCCAAAGAGACTAACACCTCTGATTGATTCCCTTAGAGAGTCATTGACATCCTTTTTGCTTGGTTTGGATTCGTCTCTCGATCCTTTTACATACAACAGCGTTCACGGACGACACAATCATCGACAAATATCCCTTAGAGAGCCATAAAATTTGTTTCTATTGATTTTAGTAATACATCGACAAATATCGCTTCTGTTCTACAATTACAAGCAGTTAATGTGCTTCCTTGAATGATCTTTTGAGGTGTCTTTCTTCATAGAAAATTGCCAATTCTCTTCAGGCATTCGGTTTATCCACTTTTGATATATGAATAAGTCAACGAGTTCCGGTCAAGTCAGCATCGCATGTTGGGTGCTATTTGGGCCGTTTTCGGGCTCTCTATCGACCCAAACCAAAAGTCCCGCTTTTGGACCTCCCTCCTCCTTATTAGTCCGCTTCTCGGGATGCCTCCTCCGCCTTCGTTCCATGGCAGGGTTGCGTCCCCATGGGCAGCCCTCCACCGGTGCCCTCGACACCGGCGCTGCTTCTAACCACCACGTCCTCGCGGAGAAGGCCCTCACCTACCTCAGGCACGGGTGCCCCCTCGACTCCCTCGCCGCCGCCTACACGCCGGAGGCCGCCGCCCACGCCCTCCTCCTTGCCCAGCCCCACCGCCCCCTCCTCCTCGCCTTCCTCCGCTGGGCCACGCCTCTCCCCTTTTTTTCCGCCTCCCTCCGCCCCCAGTCCCTCGCCCTCCACCTCCTCTCCCGTCTTCGCCGCCTTCCCGCCGCCCTTTCCCTCGCCCGCCGCATCGCCTCCCGCTTCCCCCTCCCCGCCCTCTTCGACTCCCTCGCCTCCACCCTTCCCCTCCTCCGCCCCCCTCCTCCGTCCCCCTCCGCCGCCTTCGACCTGCTTATCAGGTCATACTCCTCCCTCTTCCTTATCCCGCAAGCCCTCTCCGCCCTCTCCCTCACCAAAGATGCTGGCTTTTCCCCTGCCCTTCTCTCCTATAACTCCGTCCTCGACGCCATGTTCCGTTCTGGTCGAACCCCTCCTCGAACTGTTGAAAAGTTCCTCGCCGACATGACTAGCTCCGGCGTTTCCCCGAATGTCTACACCTACAACATACTTATTAGAGGCTTCTGTTCATGGGGCGAACTGAATCGTGCGTCATCTCTCTTCTCTGAGATGGCGCTCGCAGGGTGTTCGCCAAATGTTGTCACTTACAACACTCTAATTGATGGTCTCTGCAAGTCAGGGAAGGTTGACGATGCACGCATGCTGCTGACGACGATGAAGGAGAATGGGCTTAAGCCTAATTTGGTTACCTGTAATTCAATCGTCAACGGGCTGTGCCACAAGGGTCAGGTGAAGGAGTCTAGCAAATTTGTCGATGAGATGGTGAGAGAAGGATTGGTCCCTAATGTCATTACGTATAATACACTTGTCAATGGATACTGCAGGGAGGGAGACGTGCATCGAGCTCTCCTACTGCAAGCAGAGATGGCTCACAAGGGGGTGGCCCCTGATGTTGTCACATACACTACATTGGTCAACGCAATGTGTAAAGCTGGGAACTTGAGGAGAGCAATGGAGCTTGTCAGCCAAATGAAAGAACGAGCGCTTAGGCTTAATGAGGAAACTTTCACAACTTTGATCGATGGTTTCTGCAAGAAGGGGTTCCTGGATGATGCACTCTTGATCATGAAACAAATGAAGGAGAGTGGAATTAGGCTTTCTGTTGTGACTTATAATGCTTTGATTAATGGGTATTGTCTGTTGGGAAGAATGGATGAAGCATTGATGATTATTCGAGAAGATATGGAAACAAATGGGTTTATGCCAGATGTAGTTACTTACAATACGATTTTGAGTGGGTACTGTAGGAATGGAGATATTAATCTGGCATTTCAGTTTAATAAAGAGATGCTTGACAAGGGTATCTTGCCTGATGCTATTACTTACTCTTCACTTATTAGGGGTCTTTGTGAAGGAAAAAGACTGGATGATGCATGCAAGCTTTTTCAGAAGATGTTGAGTTTGGGTATACGTCCTGACAACTATACATACACCACACTGATTGATGGCCACTGCAAGGAGGGGGAACTGAAGAAGGCTTTCCTTCTTCATGATGAAATGATAAAGAAAGGGATCCATCCGGATGTCGTGACTTATAGTGTGCTTATAAATGGCCTCCAAAAGGCAGCTCGGACAAAGGAAGCAAAACGACTCCTGCTTAGGATGTGCCATGATGAGTCTGTTCCTGATATTGTTACATACGACATACTGATTGATTGTTGTGGCAAAGTAGAGTTTAAGAGTTTGTTGTCGCTTCTAAAGGGTTTCTGTATGAAAGGGTTGATGAATGAAGCTGATGAGGTATTCAACTCTATAGCAGAAAGGAATTGGAAGCCTGATGCTACTGCATATAACATTGTTATTCATGGACACTGTAGATCAGGAAATGTTCATAGGGCGGTTAGCCTATATGAAGATATGCTACAGGCTGGTTTTCTTCCAAATGCAATTACTGCTATTTCTCTTATTAAGGGTCTTTCCCAGTTCGGAACAAATGAGAAACTGGATCAAATAATTCAACAGCTATTGGGAGGTTCTTTGCCAACATATTCTCAAAAATCAAAGGTTCTTGTTGAAGTGAACCACAAGGATGGGAACATGGACGCTGTGTTGGATGCTTTGACTGACTTGGCAAAGGATGGACTTCTTCCTAATGGTGGTGAACTAAAAGGATGACTCACTAATTTATGATGTTGGAAATTCATCTCATATTGCTAAAGATCATGCCTACAGGCAAAGATTGATGACCATGTTCTTCCATTGGCATAAGAAAATTTAAAGCCAGACTTGAGGTACATATGTTTTCTTTAAACTAGATTATGTCAATATCAGTTTTACTATGTAAAATTGCTAAATTTTATTATCTTTTCCATTATTTTGAGCTTGATAAGGCACTGTTAGTTTTAGATCTTTTTTTTTTTGCTTTTAATTTCTGTTCCATGTTCGTTATGATGAATGGGCTAGTACTGTAACCATTGACTAGTTTAACCTTTTTTCTCCTTAAAAACTTTGCCATCTTGCCAAAATGGCAAGTGCTACCATGGTGCAGTTAGCTTACTCAACAGCAATGTTCTGGGTCTGCTACATGGTTCTTTTTCCAGTATTAAAGGCTGTTGAGAACGAATCCTAGCACTCAACTAATTGAGGTGGTTTGGACATGTCAAAAGGAGGCTTATGAATGTAGTATTCAGGTGAGGTGAGCAAATTTAAATGGGTGATGGCAAGAGAGGCACAGGAAGGCATTAGCCTGGACAGACTGTATCTTATTAAAATTGATATTAATCTCGTGAGTTGTGGATTTTACTCAATTTAACTGCATTATAGTTGGAAGATTCATCTAACACCATCAGCTGCATTACAAATCTAAATGTATATTTATCTGGTATGGCTAAAGCTGGCTCTTAGGTGTGTAATCTATAACTTCTGTAATACAGACTTGTAAGCAAAGTATTCTAGCTTCTGGTCGTGTGTGAGTTGTAATACAAGCTCGAGAATTTTGTTGTTCCATGGGATGGATGGATGTTCTATAGGTCATGTGTATGTTGATGAACTCGTTTAACCAATTATGTTTTACACCACAAGTTTGCCAGCATGATGAGTGTTGCCATGCAATTTGCTTATGGCCTTAGCGTATGCAAGCATTTTGAGGCTTGGTTGCTATTTGTTTCTCTTTGAATTTAAGGAGAATATCCTAGGTTGTGCATAACCATTTTGACTCATGCGAGAGTTAATAGTTTTTAACTTTAATAAGGGTCTGGAAAAGGGTGGAAGTTGTAAATGTATTCTTCTAAGTTCTAACTACCATGATGGTTGTCTCCTTCTGATTCTGGTTATCTAGTATTCTTAATGGGATCTTAATGCACTTTTTACCAGAGCCGGATCAATGTGTATGCATGGTTTTAGGGGGCAACATCTATGTAACATCGGAGAGCCGTACAAAAGCGAGTTAAATCAAGGTGAGTTTTTTTTCAATGTCTATGACTGCTACTACCATTTTATTTATGATGCAATTGATTCAATGTAAGTCTCACCTCTGGCAGAGTGATATAGTTTAATATCAGTCAGTACTCATACTCATCACCAGATAGTTTTAATTTAGTTAACAGATCATAAATAGTTACTGATTGTATCACACACTTAAAATTCTGGAAGTAACAAGGCAGGAACAACCTTGAAGCATCTCTATCAGGATTGCTTCTGGGATTGTCAACATAAAAGGGAGTTCAGAGGTTGCTACCAATGCAATGTACAAGGAGGATTACTGTACATAAGTCGTACATTTATATATGAAGAAAAATTAGTTCCATTGCTCCAACTCTGATCGCTTAGATTGCAGGGGAACAAACTTGCTAGTATATATCAAAGCTTGTTCTATGAGATTACCAATATCTATTCTAAAAATTTTAGACAGGTGCAATGGTCCTAAGTATGTGGTAATGGAGCTGATTGCAATGGTTCGATGTTGTTTTGGAAACTGACCTCATTTATGCAAGTTCTCTAATTTTTTCTGTCCTCGTACATAAATAAGAAAAGCTGGAAAATTTTTGACCTGGACACTCTCCCAAAGGAGTTGGTTCCGGTTTTGATCAAGTATTAGAGGAGCGGTCAACTACAGGAAGAGATCAAACGTGAACTGTTCAACGGGTCACCGGGGAAGACAAAAGGGAGCAGCAACTCAACAGGATCCAATGGCTGATCCATTGTCTTCAGAAAACTACAGTTGACAACTCAACAGGATGCGGTAACTACAGTTGACTTCAGAAAACTTCTCCATTGTTTAACTCTATTTTCACTTCAATGCTGGATGGATTCTGAGATTTTTGCTCCCAGTATCTATGAGCCACTATTGGGACGAGGAGGAGGACAGTTTTCCATGAAAGAACATGAACAATATGTGGGAGTCATTATTGGCGTCTCTCTAGCAGCATCTGCCACTCAACATGAGCGATCGTTCCGTGATGGAATAGGGAAGTTCTCCGAGATCATCCAGGACTTGGAAGGTTGGATCAGTCTTTGCCTATTATCTCTCTTTTGTTGTAGGAGTTTAGTGTACCGAGTTGAACACTGCTGAGCACATCAAGCCATGGGACGAAGTTTGGTAGGGATGGAGGTGCATTTTACAAGCTTCTTTACTGATGTAATGTAAGCTCTTCTGATATCTTATGTTCTTATCTCTTCTGTCCTGAAAACAAAAAATAATGTCGTGCATGAAGAGGAGTACTAAACCCTAGAGAGTAACAGTCAAGCTTCTACAGCGTCTAGATTTGAGACCCAGTACACTGGGATGTGGATTTATTTTAGTGGCAAACCAGGTGCAGATTCTGAACACAGCTTTTATCTGCATGCTTCCATTTCTTTTGAGATGTACTTGATGCACCTTCAAAGAGAGAAGGCATCAGATCTGCTCAAGCTAAAAATAATAGTGTTCAGCATCCACAGCATATTGAAATCATCCTACTTGAGCTGAGAGCAGTTGCAGAAATTTCACTTCACTTTTTAGCAAACAAGTTCTGCAGCTTTTTGCCTCAAGAAAATAACACTAATCTTTTGCTAAAGATCAATCTGCAGCTTGAGGTGAATGATATCTGTAACTCTGAACTCCAGTCTTTCACAGAACTTGAGAAAAGAGCACACTAGAAATTTTTTTGGAGAAAAAAATTCACCTATGGCATCAAAATTCATACTTGTTAATGAAATGTCTTAAAGCATTTGATAATGAATCATTTGGTCAATTGGCGATTGGTGTGATAGTATATCCGACGGATTTATAAGCCTCTGGTTTCTAGAGCTAAAGGCTTATAGGCGAGGGTTTGTTTTCTCGGTTCTGCCTCTAGTATTAATAATGATTTATCTAAGTCCTTGATTTTTATACTCCTTAATTAATATGGGACTAAATGGTTTTATTAAGACTCCTAAAGCGTATTTACATGATTTTATCATTTTCGAGAATAATCTTACGGACTTATGAGCTTTTGATTTTCGTACTCTTCGACCAATATGAGATTAAATGATATTAAAATTATATTTAAATCTAAATTTTATTTATCTTCAAAAGTAAGCAAAAAAAAAAATTATAACTTTAGATCATTAACTACACCTCAATCAATGAGAATAAAAAGTGTAGAAATAAATAAAATAAAACTCATTGGTGTTGATGAGTCGGTGATCATCAAGATAGGAGACAGGTCAATAAAAAGACTTTCTTGGTCAAATTAATAGTACAAATGATCTTGATGGAATCATTTAATATTTTTTGCACATGATGTGGCGATTCAATCCTTGGAGAGACTTGAAATCCTCTCACACTTATTATTGTATAACACACATATCAACGAAGCCCTACTACTAAGTGGTCAATGGATCTCACATCAATGAGCTATTCCAACGTTGAAGACGAACTCGTTCACTGCACCCCTTGGAGAAGCTTCAACGCCTGCTTCAGTGCGACTTGTCCAACCTCTCCTATGTTAGTCCTTGCAAGGCAGTACGATCGCTCTACGACTACAGCAATGTGGCCACCTGTTGCTTGCGTTCTGACCCCCTAAACTCTCCCGCTAAAGGAGACTACCATTCACAATAGAGACTCGACTCCCAATGAATGACAAGCTGAGTAGGTGAGCCAAAAACTAAAGCTTCCTACCCAAGGAAGGAAGGAAGGAAGGAAGGAATTAGTCAAACAAAGACGTGAAAGTGGTGATGTTGAGCAACAAAGAATGCAGATTAGGACCATCACTGTTGGGTTTGGATTAGGTTAAAAGGCTTGGTGGTTGAATTAAGACGTGTAAATCATTCCACCAAACAATCCTGATCTATGCCTTGGCAATTATCTCCCCTTGTTCACATTGATCATGCCAATCTATCACCACATTCTTCAGGTGGATGACCTGAAGAACAAGATGGGGACATGTCAATCCTATTCATCTCCAGCACCAGAGCAGGAACTGCGTCCGAGGACAATTATTTGCACGCAGATCCAATGTAAAACGATTTTTCCTCATGCACCACAAGATCACTGCCCTAACCTAATCTCGACCTAACCTTATCGTCTTGTGGGACGAACCCATCAATTGTCATGTCGATTACGCCAACGAGATGTGATTAGCAGTCCTTATTTAATGGTGTATGAGTTGCTACTTAGGTTGGTAAGTAGTATTCCGTCAGAATTATGGTGATGAAAAGCAGTTTATATGTATCATCTTTATTGTTGTTCCTTTCTTCAGCAAGCAAATGCTTGCTGGTGAGGAAAACACATTCCCTTTCGGTCGAGAAATTTCTTGATGTGCAATGCATGCAATGCGGTTTTATATACTACCAAAAAAGAACATTAAAATTCTCGTTGACTACATTCTTGAATGTAAATTTTATTTTGGTCAAATTAGATCTGTAATATAATTAAATACGATGGAAATTTATTATTATTAGGATTATTATTATTATTATTTGATGCCAAGCTTGCAAGTCTTTGGTCGCCCGGTCCTCGTACTAGTACTGTGCACTACGAGACGTGGATTTGATTTATGGAGTGCAGATTTGCTGTCCGCGCTCAGCCAGCCATGGAGTTCTTGGGTCGAGCAATCGTTGGTGGGTCCCACAGATGTTGGGATCCCGGGCTGGAAAAAGTTTGTGGAGCGTGCTTTGGCTCTGACAGAGAATCCGCAACTGTGGTCAGGGCGTCGTATCCGACTGCACTTTGATCGACCAATGACATGCTTACGTGCACAAGAAACATTTTCTCAAAGATTTTTTATTCTTTTTTTTAGATTTCTTTCATTTTCCACGATTTTTAGTGGAAACGTGGACTTAAGCTATTTCTTTATTCCATAATAAAACCAAGCAAGAAAAAATTAGAAGGAAGCTACGAAGAACCTCTCCTTACCTTTCCCCTTCCTATTCCTATTCCTCTATCTCTTTCTCTTGCTCCACCACTACTACGATCTCTCCTCCTTTCCTCCCGCAGAGCCCATGGCTGATCGGTCCTCCACCTTTCGAGTCTGAAAGCCACCACAGATTATTTGCTCGCTCGCTCTCTCTCTCTCTCTCTCTCTCTTCTGGAATGCTGTGTCCTAAGTTCTATTGATCCTTTCGAAAAGAGAGGCTACTTTTTCTATGCTGTTGGCGGTGCTTCTGCACTTTTGCTTCCCGTGCTACTATATCAGAAGAATGAGCAGTTTCAGCTCCATCTTTGCTGTTCCCTCTGCAGTTTAGCCAAGAAGACTCCTCTGCAGTTTCCTCCTCTCGTTATCCTGGACACCTGCTATGGACTCAGGAAACAGCAGCAGCCTCCAGTCCTCCAGCGGCGGAGACGACGACTTCGACTGCCGCGTCGACTCCCTCTCCGCCTTCTTCCACTCCTCCCCACCAGCCGCCGCCGCCGCCCTCCCGCCTTCCCGGTCACCACCACCACTCTCCTCCTCCTACGACGGCCACCACTTCTTCGACGACTCATCTCTCCCCTACCTGGACTCCTCAGCCCCGCTCCTTCCCATCGGCTCCTCCACCACCGCCCCTTGGCCACGCCACCTCATCCCCAGCTCCTCCAATTGCATCACCGCCGCCACCGCCGCAGCAGCCTCACTCGGGGCCCATCCCGTGGCTACTAGCCTGTTGTCGTCGTCGTCGATGCAACCACAACTCGAGCAGCCCATCGGCGCCGCTGCAGCGGCGGCGGCGCCAAGGAGCTCGAAGAAGCGCTCCAGGGCCTCACGACGGGCCCCTACCACCGTGCTCACCACCGACACCTCCAACTTCCGCGCCATGGTCCAAGAATTCACCGGCATACCCTCCCCTCCCTTCTCCGTCGCCTCTACGTCCCCTTTCGCGCGATCTCGCTTCGACCTCTACTACCCCGCTGACGCGCCTCCTCCCCACTTCCTCCTCCGTCCCTTACCCAAGAAACTCCAAGCTCCTCCCTCCTTTACTGCTAATCCCATCTCTTCTCTTCCACCTCCTCGTCCTTTGAGCACCACCAACACTGCTGCTGCTAGTGCCAACACCAAAATTCCTACTGATGACTCTAACTACCGGTCACCTTCTCATGATCTTGGTCTTGCCGGAGGCCAAAGGCAACCTCTTGTAAGCCACCAAAGCCCCATCCTCAACTTCCAAAACCTCCTCCAACCCTCACAACTCCAAGCAAAGTACACTCTTCCCGCCATAGCGGCAAGCTACAACGCAAAGCTGCACATGACACCCTCAGACGCGTACAAAGCACATGAGCTCGGCGGTCTTCCGCCAGGGCTTATCGGGTCCGAAGCATTGCATTCGAGCTGGACGGACGGCGGCGCTGATCTAGCGCACTTGAGGCCAGCCGCCATCGATGACTTCTTGGACTCACAACTACGAGTCGGCAGCGGTTGGAAGCCGAACTACTCGGCTTCGGGGCCCCCCTCGGAGTTTACCGGGGACAAGGTATCGGGGAGCGTCGTGGCAACGAGAGGCGAGGGCATGGTGGAGTCATGGATTCATTATTCTGATTAGGAGATAGGGAAGAGCGTTGTAGTTAGGTCGAGAAGGAGGACGAAGAAGAGCTCTCGCTGCTTTTTCTTCTAATGCATGTGACATATGTAGCACCAGTACTGGTGAGTATACATGATTCTCCCTTCTTTGTCTTCTCTGTTTGGTGTGTAGATAGGGTTTCTCCAGGCCGTTCTTTTCATCACAGTGTTTGGAACAGTTTTTATAGGCCTTTCTCTGTCCTTAGATCACACTGTATCCAATTTCCCGGGTTTCCATTGTGGTTGTGCATGCTCACTTCAGACATAACCAACAAACAGTCGTCGAAGCACGATGAGAGAGATTTTCCTGGGAGAAGACATGAAGATTAAAGACAAGAGAAGTGGTGCAATTGACAGGACGAGTAGTAGCAGCGAGACAAGAAAAGGAAGGATGCTTTTTCGTGTGTTTCAGTATGTGATGTTAACACTGTGCTTCGAAAAATTCTGCTATGTTCTTGGGTTTCAGGACATTTTGGCATGACATGTACACGGAATTTGGATCATGGGGTGGAGGAAACATCGGTGGCAAGATTTTGGTACGCCGTCGTCCGGCAAAAAATCTTTAGAATTTAGATCAGGAACACCGCAAACGCAAGGAAAGTTGTGCTCAGGATTCACTCGACCCAATAGGCACGACAGCAGTGGCAACACCGATCTCTTGAAGACAACTAGCAGCATAAACAAAAGAGCAATGGCAGCAGGGTGGTACAATTCCATTAGAAATCTCAAAAGCATCAGGACATGGTTTTAAAAGCCATGGGTTGGCTAATTATTCAGTCAGATCTTCATTTTTTTTAGATGTTTGTTCTTCTTATTTTGCTCGGTTTCAGTCTCTATTCATGTCCTCCTGTCAGACAGCACTCTCCCATCTGAGCTGACAGGAACCATCTCTCTCTCTCTCTCTCTCTCTCTCTATGGGGGTGGGTGGGTGTGTGTGTGTGTTTTGAGGGAGTGAGAGAGGGATGAGTTCTACTTTTTAGACTGATATGATGGATGACCGGCCATGGTTTTCTTTGGGAGATTGGATTCGCAGGTGAAGGTGCACATGATTAGGTGTATGAGATTATGGGACGTTTGGGAGTGGCCTTTCAGACGTCGCCTGTCATTTACATTTGATGTCATCCTCGTCTCTCTATCTCGTCAGGTGTGTGCCTGAAGATGATGGGCTCCCAACTCTCCATCCAGTCTTGAACACTGCTACTTAGTTTGATTGAATCACCCTGGAAAAACCTACTGGATGATATGGTTTCTTATCGACCATATGTAGTGAGAGAGACCATCCATAGTCCCCACAGATAGGTCAGTGAGAGACCACATCACCAAGAAAATTTGCTGGATGAAGCATTCCACCCTCTTTTTCCTTCTCCCCTTCTCACTGTGGAAGAAAACCTGAATTAATTTGAACAGACAGGAAGATGAAAAGCTTTTCAGTCTCAGAAAAGAGGGCAACATCAGATGAAAAGCAATTGGATAGAACAGAGATGCATTCACAGTATCATATCACTGCAACCTTCCTTCTCAGCACCTTATCACTACCATAAGATAGAAAGCCAGACAGGATTTGGGTTGATTCCTGAGCCTGTATTAGTTGTGTATGGATGAAATGAGCAGTTAACTAACCATGAATGCATGTTAGCATGTGTGTTGTGTCCTCCTGCATGCTGTAGTGGAAAGTTTAATGGGATCACTAAGAAAATTTGGCTGGCGAATTGGAACTTCTCGAATTGCAAAGCTCTGTGGCTTCCCAGTGTGTCATGCACCAGAATGAGGTGAAGTTCGCTGCAAACAGAGCAGCTCACCAACTAAAGTCAAGTGGGCATGATGACTGCAACCAGACCTGAAAAGCTACATGGATGGTTGTCTCTCCTCTTGTCCCATTTTTGTGTCCTCACTACCACCAAATCATATGACTGGTATCACCAAAGAATCCTATCATGAGCTAGGCCTTGGCATATTTAACTGTCTTCACCTCATCACCTTCAAGTGAAATACCCATAAAAGAAAAGAGATGAAGTAACCAAAGCTTGTGATTTTTTGGAGGCCAAGAATGGTTGATCAGGTTATGGTGTTGAAGAACTACAATCAAACGTAAGCTATGATGAAAGCTAGCTTGAAGCCAACAGGAATGAGGTAGTGAAGGTTCAACCTCATTGCCCAAGAATAAAGAAAAAAGCCCTCCATTGACTGGTATAAATACACGTTTGTGAGGAGGAGCAAAGAGACAGGGAGAAAATTCTGTGAAGCTAAAGATAGGAGCCCTCCTTTTTTGTTTCATCTAGTGGTCTGTAGCTTTCCGACACTCTGGACCACAACATAAGTTTGGATCAAGACTTTCTCTCAAGGCTTGGCATTGCTGGGACTACAACAAGAAATGAAAGAAAAAGCTTCAGCAGGGGCATGGCTAAGTGTTAGAAACACTGGCTCTCAATTCAATGTGTGTCCTAAAAAGCATTAGTTCATGACTCATACACACTATGGCCGGTCTTATGAGTGCATCAAAGGTTAAGGATATTTCATAGTAGAGTATGAAATCTGAAAGAGTATTGTGGTGGAATGTATTTAATCATCTTCAACCAGGTTGATGTTGCATTTTGATGTCAACAGGTAAACTATACTAAACTATTCTCATCAGTTTGGGCATGTTAGGTGGTTAGCTACCTCATCCTTGTCTATATCACATCTAAGCAACAATATCAAATTCAAAGAAGAATTATTTAATGTGGACTGTAGGAGTTCTGTAGTTCAATCCTGAAAAAGACTCTTGTTGGAAAGAATACCAACACAAATTGTTCTCTCCCATTTGATCTTTTGGAAGGTCCACTGTCTACTGCCCATATTTAATGTAAAGAAACTTGGAGCTGGAATGTGACACAGAAAGGTATGGCTAGTTCTAAGAACCTACCAGGGAAGGTATGAACTCTGCAGGTTGGTTTGTCTGTGTAGTGGGGAAGATAAATAAATCATGCTTTTGGTCTTTTATTTCTCTAGCTTTCTGATAGATTAACTGATAGTGACTTCATTCTGGGGTTGGAAATTCTGAAATCTACCTGTGGGATGTTTCATTCTTAATTGAGATGTGGATGATGCAGATATGACCAGCAAATCACATGATGCAGGGAGAAACAGAGTGCGTCATGCAGGCTTGTTTTGAGTGCAAAAAGGCTGGACAAACATCAAGGTCTGTCAACAAGTTTTTATGCCACTGTTCTTGTGTTGGTTTTGCATGTGCTCTACTAAAAAACCTTACATAAGAAATTTAATGGTTTCATCTAAATCATAATAATAAGCATATCAGCTGCATCCTTAAGCTTGTATCATCCTCAGTATTTGGAAAGATGGTTTTCAAGTGTCTAATCTATAGCAGCTGCCTCTGTTACATATCAAGCATGACAATTTTCTGGTTCAGTAGGTCAGAACTGCATGTTACATCAAATAAAGATCAGAAATATTTCCACAGATATTAAGCATATGGCCTGCAATATTTCCTTCCCTGTCTCCATATCAGCACAACAGTAAAATGACAACATTTGGTCCCCTTTGTTATGTGGAAAGTGAGTGCTAGACCATAGAGAGTATTGATCTTTCTTTTGACCGGGTTTGTCTTAGGGACAGTTACCACAACCAGTTGCCACCCTCAAGACAGGCAGAACTCTCAATCCTTCACATGGACATGTTGGGCAAATTCTCCCACCATGAACAGGCAATTGAGGGATCAGAACTTTGTGGCTGGAATGCATCACTTTGAGGGCCTCGGCAAGAAAACTAGGGTTTAAGAAAGGTGTCTCTGACCATAATTGATGGACATGGCCAGCAGAAGAATGTTCACCATCTAGGCAACAACAATTCAGCAAGCCACCAATCCATGTTCACTGAGTTTGGAATTGCCTCTAACTCTAACCTACATTGTCAACCTAAAGTCAACACTAGTTTGTCATCAAGTGTCAAAACTTCCACCTTTGGAAGCCAGAGACATGGCAAAGTAATATTTTGGATCAGCTACACTGATTTTTTGTTGCCTTTTCTTTTTTTTTTGTCTCCATTGAAGCAATAAATACTGATCATTGTCAATTCTCTTTTCTAACGCAGCAGAAACTGAATGCTGTTCTAGTTCTATATTTTGTTGTGTAGTAATACTTACAGAATCATCCAACCAAGAAAACTCATAAATGACTTTCAATGATTTGCAAAGTTGTTCTTTTATGATGGCAAGTAAATCTATGAAAAGAGATGATCATAGTTCACCACCCACTTCTTCTCTTCTTCACCGGAACTCTGAGCAGGATCTATTATTGCCATCGCTTGGATTTGACGGTGTGATCTACAACTAGATCTACATCTCGGCAGCCATGGAAAGCCAGATGCCCTTTCCGCAAGAAGGTAGCACCAGCCAAAGGCAACACACTGCTGTGGCTGAGGCTGAGGGGTTCCCCTGTCTCACCTCATGATGCCGGTTCCCGAGCTCCACCTGCAGCCTCCTAATGATGTTATCTCCCACGAACACCATGTTGTCATATTGCTGCCATCAATGGGATTGCCAGTCGAAGGGCCCCATCGGTCTATCCACCAACCATACAATCCATGCACCTATAATAGCAGAGCAACCTGGTCTTCTGGCCTTTCTAAGATGCATCATTTCTGCCGATGATGAGCAACCCAAAGTTGGGGCAAAGGGGAGGGCTCACCCTCTTATCGCCTCAGACATTGTCTGCGGAACCGACGGCTGGGTGAATCCAATCTTGCAAAAGGTTGGATTGGTTGTCTCACCGATCGCATTCAATCGAATCTGATATGATATATTTTGGTGGCCTGGACACGTCACCACTAACACCGCACGCTAAATCGGAGCCGTACGCCACCCGTCCCATCCCGGGAGCTCGTACCAAGAAGATATGTCACACGTCCTGTCTTGGAAGCTCGGGACGGTGCCGTCTGACGTTGCTCTGCACGTCCCGAAACGGCAATCGGTCAGAAGAGTCGTCCCATCTCTCGGGGGTCAACAACAGACGTCGAATCGACGCATCATCAGCCCTCGCGCCACAGTATAAGACCCCTGGTTGGCCTCCGACCAGAAGGAGGGCAAGAAAAAAGAAAGAAAAAAAGTAATCTCTCTCGTTACTAACTTGCTCATCGGAGGGGTCACGGTTGGATACCACTCGACGGA